CAGCAGTACAAGGAGCTATGTGCAAGCACAAGCACCAGTCCTTCTGGGTTCTAGGAACATAGTACTCACAAAAGAACAGGATCTTGGTCAGAGAAAATTTTATAATTAAGAGTTAAACCTGACAGAAAAAGGCAGCCAAATGTGTCATCACCTCCACTCATTACTTGCTCATTGCTGCTACTCCCAGAAGGGAGAACCATGAATACAGTAACTGCTGTGGTCACTACACTGCAGGAGGGAATTACCTGGGTCGATGATGGCCAGTGTGCACACTCTGTAGTATTTCCCACATGCTGTGCCCAATTCAATGTTGTTGCCACTGTAATGGTGGACACCAGTCTTGGCCAGCATAGCGTAGTACTCAATCTCTGATTTTCTGAAACCCAAAAACTCGGTGTTACAGTGCTGACAAACAATTCTGATTGTCTGCAATACAGAAAGCAGCTTTAACTCATATTACACTCAAACCATACACAGTTTTCCCTCCCACCCAGAGAAACACAGCTGTTCCTGCCAGGCAAAATCACTATGTTGCATCTCAGGAACCCTTTCCCAGAGGTCTGTAACAGCTGCTCCTACAAATGCTCATTTCTACATAGCAAAAGGTTTCCTACAAATGCTCATTTCTATAAGGCAAGAGGTTTCAGGACTTGCAGACTTCTGACAGGCTGCAGCAGCTGTGCCAAAACGCATGAACAATGATCATTATTAGTTGATCCGCAGTGGCCAGATGCCAAACAGAGACATGGCTGCCACCAGCTGAGAAAAACTGCATTTTTCTTTAAAACAGAAAGTGAAACTATATTCCCTCTCTTCTGACATCCACTGGGAGATTCTAGTGGTCAATACTGTTCCTCAATCTCTTCTTGGATCCCCACTCACACTGCGGATTGTCCCCTACTGTAACAGTCCTGCTGTTTCCCCAGCATCTCACTTCCATTTTCCAAACTTCGGTTTTCCTGAGTCTGTCAATATCCCTTAACAACAAAAAGAGCCCAGATACCCAATAAGGTAAGTGTCAGGAAGTTAGTAAAGATTTCATTCTCAAAAAAATCAAGTTTCAGTGGCCAGAAACTCAAATCAGTAACTAACCTGGACAGTAAAGTTTGTGTGCTTCAAATATTTTAAATCAATTACGTATTTTCCTAGCCACGAAGTTATTTTCCAGTATTTCCCAATATTTGGAAAAACATGGGAATTCAGCCCCATTATGCTTTGTGAATGCTATCACAGAGTGAAAAGCTTCTAGTACCTTCTCTAGTGCAAACTCTTTGAATCAGAAAGCTAGAAAAATGCTGGGAAGCATTTCAACACATGCAGACCTGAAATCCTTACACTCCAAACTTTCACGTCATAGCACTGCAGAACATGCCAGTGAAGTCCTCTGCATCAATTCGCTACAGAAATTAGCAAGAAGCAGACCCTGTCTCAGAGAGAATGGTGTTCTCACACATCTGCTTACCTCAAGGCAGGACAGTTGTTGGCTAGGATGACCAACTTAGCTTTGCCCTGACGAATCATTTTCAGAGTCTGTTTGTACCCGAGCACATATTTGCCACTTTTCATAACCAGCTGAAGTCTAGAGTTTATAGACTCCAGGGACTTTTTCTGAAGAAGATATAGAGAGATGTTATTGTGTGTCACTTTACATTTTTCAAAACAATAGAGAACATAAGACAATGAAGAAATTTCAAATACAAGCAGTTTTTTATCACTTCCCTATGATGTGAAATATGCAATAAGAAAGGCCATAGGAGTGTAAGAAAGCTTGTGGATTAGAGGGTTGCTGATGCCATGTTTTCCCAACTTCAGAAAGTTCTTTCTTCCCCGGATTACCTTACAACAGGCAAATTCCTCTCAAAGCACTGTTGCTGCTATCTAAACACATCGGTGGCATCCATGTGTATCTGGCAGGCCCTTAGCAAGCTCAGCTAGCTAAGTCCAAGCAAATAATACTTTTGCCTTGCAAATCCAAGGCAGGTTTGGAGCTCCTAGGGTACACACTAACGGCCTTACACTGGGCAGCAGACACAAGTAATCCCGTGTAATATGAGCTGACGCTCCCCAGGTGAGCGCGATGCGCCTGACAGCAGGTAAGTGCATTTGCAAGGATCTAACACAAACCCAGAGCTGTCAGAGCAGCTCCAAAAGGAACATGGCAGGAGACGCAAACGCTGAGCTCCACCTGCACTAGGAACCTCCAGATAGCTCAGAATCACAGACTCATAGAATTTTAGGGGTTGGAATGGACCTTACAGATCACCTAGTCCCAACTCCCTGCCATGGGCAGGGACACTTCCCACTAGGCCATGCTGCTCAAGGCCTCATCCAGCCTGGCTCTGAAAAGAGCAAAAATGAACAGAAGCTCAGGGGCCGCTGCAAGCAGCACAGAGTCCCGCACGGGAGGGAACCGAGCACACCGTGGGCGGCGGGAGAACGCGGGGCGCAGCATGCCGGGAGGGCACGGCCCGCGCCG